GATCACGGCCATCATAGACATTGTAATGCAATTTTCTATGATTAATTTTTTTAGCTGGCACTTCAGAATCTATATATTAAAGTCTTTCCTATGACTATGCCGACGACTATGCCGACATCGGGACACGTTGTCGCTTGCAGCAGACAAGGCGCGTCCCAAAAATGTCTGATGGATTCATCCTAGGTAAAAGACATCAATAACCTATCCTTTGCCACCTTCCTTTTAACTGCTGCAGCTTGTGCCACCTCATTGTGATCTTTGTTCAGGGTTGATAAGGCGTTTGTTTACGTGATTTCGTGATTTCTGCGAAGGTTGACTCGTAATCGGCGCCATAGTAATCGCTTGATTGTTAGTCGAGTGTGAAAAGATTTTTGTTCTACGTATCATCTCATGCGGGTCATCTGTTGTCATGCTTTTTATTTTCGATTCTATTCTGATAGCGCCGTCTATTTCGTGGGAATATAAAAATCTTATTGCTGTGATGTCATGAAGTATGTGTGGGAAAACAGTATGTAAATGTCTTTCCGCTGAGAATAGGAATTAATTCTCCCACGCGTTTCCGGAATTTCGAACGTTTGTTGTTCTGAAGTCTTTTGAGGCTGAAGTCGGCATTTTTCGAGGTGAAATCCAAGTTTTTCTCTTTTTTCTCGGCTCCGATGAGAGCAGAATAGAGTTCATTTACTTTTTAGAATGTCTATCTTCAATATCTTCACTTCTTGTCTATTCCATTCTTCTTCTCAACTTAGGCCGATGTCATAGTTTGCTCTATTGGCTCTCCCAAGGTAATTTTTAGAGAAGTTACACAGAAAGGAATAAGGTGGAGAGAACGGCGCCAACATTAATGAGCCTAGCATCTGTATCCCAGGAGAAGGGGAGTGTGAGAGGAATGGTGGCGAATTAGGAAGGTAGAAGGAAACATCAATGAAGACGCACTGCGAGCATGATTGCAGTATTGCAATACGTTCTGGTGACGCTAACCGTAAGTGTAGGAAACGTGCAGAAATCAGGTGATTCTGAACGTCCTCTGAACATAACGATGATAGATGAAATTTATCATTGCCATTTCAGTTCTAGCCTTCAGGTAGCTGCCAATTTTTCGATTCGTAATTGCGTGCCTTTATCTGTAAGAAAATTCACAGAATACTTTTCAAACTCAGATATTGTCCAGAAAGACTGACCCTCCAATCCAATTGATTTTTAATAAGAATTGAGCACAGAAGGATTCAGTTACTCATTCACCGCTAATTGAGGTGCTGGAATGATGCTTCCAGCAAGTTACCTAGGATGGGTTTGCGTTTGGTACAAACAGACTACGCGCAAAATAATGTACGTTTTGAAATATACGCGCCAGTAAAGAAAAGGTGAAATGTGATATCCTCGGAATGCATGAACTATTCTGAGACCCACTAATTTTCCGCAGGGAGTTTGCTCCTCTGCGAAAAGGAGTGGGTGGATTACTGTGGGCAGCATGAACTGTTGCACTACGTGTCGCTCCACCCCGTCCCCTCTTATTAGAGTAGATTGAGAACTAAAAATGTTTGTGTCATGGAGACTTGAATTATGTTGGTCATCATTTGTAGCTGATTACTTAATGTTGGCCTTTGTAAAGATTATAGCTCTACTGTATTAGATCTGTAATTGTCTCATTGTGGCAGTAGTCACAAGGGTGATTGATACAATGCCATGTCCCCGTGGCGTTATATTTAATGCAGTGAAATGTTCTAAGATCCTAACTAGTGATTAATATGCGTGCAATATAACATGATATAATTTGCTCTCATATAGCGTTCACTTGCAGATAGCAGGTGGTAGAGATATTGAGGATAATTTATTATGGGCAGCTTGAGCTGTTCTAATGAGAACTTGAAGCTATTGCCCGTCACCATGGCTAATCAGCTTTTGCCGCTTACTTCCAATACACACGTCCTATTTCCAGAGTTGCCATGCGTGCACTTGGACATGCGTGAGTTGCCGAGAAATAGAATCGTTATTCTCCACGCCTGTGAGCTGACATGGCGTTCTAAATTATTACTTACTAATTACTTTTTACAGGATGTTTGATTTATTGTTAGGTGGATAGTTCAATCACATGCTAGGGCTCATTTATTTGGAAATAATTGGCTTGTGTTAAAATAGGCGCAAATCGCAAGTTTATGGCGAAGGCTGAGAATGTGCAGGGTAGTAATGAGCTGCAATTTGAGGAGTGATTACGACAAAAATTAGCCATGACTAGGTTGCGGCAGCCGGCGTGCACGACAATGCGTCGTCATGAATAAGAGCGACTGACTCACTGTTCCGACTGGTAGTTGTAGTCATTCAATCTATACATTGTGTTGCTTGTCGTTTATCTTGATCTGTTTCTACTGGATGTGTACTTTCTTGATGAATAATTAATGGTTAGTTGTGATGAGTGCGACGTCCTCTGTGTTGAGGACAAAGTTGCGCAACAGAAGCTGAGCAGTCCACCCAAGTGCCAGAATCGTCATAGCTGCAGGTGTTTTGCGAGGCTCCGAGCAGCAACACTTCCATTTAAAGCACTGGGGATTAGACTGCCTCCATCTCTCGGCAATTATTGAGACTTCCGATTGAAGCTTCCGTCATCGGAAACTCATTACGTTTTCTCACTTGGCTATGTAGATGACTTAAAACAAGATTTCTAGCTTTTCTATGATTCGTTTTTTTTTAATACATGGTGGCTGTTCTTAAAAAAGGGAGTGAGAAAAGTACTCCCGCTCCTGGACCACTGGAGTACTTTTCTTTTCACCGAATAGTTGCAGATATGTAGATATAGTTACCTTATCTTACAAATAAAAGCATATTTGGTAGTGGTATCTTTCAAGATTTCTTTAATTTACATCATTTTTCTTCAGCATTTATCCCATAGACGGAGTCCGCTTCTCTTGCATATTAATGACTATTTTTTGATCGAATGCATTATCGGGGGACAGATCCCGATTGATTTTATGTCCATATGTAGCCTATTAAGGCCGATGTCAGACTTTGCGAATCGCGCGATTCGCTAGCGTCCGCGGTCGCGTTGCGGTACCAGCCAATTGAGTGATTCACTGGCCGCGACGCGACCGCAGACGCTAGCGAATCGCGCGATTCGCAAAGTCTGACATCGGCCTAAGAGTGCGCTTCTTTTGGGCACCCTTTGGGGCACATTCGCGATGCACAATGGAAGTATCATATGTGTTATTTATGGTTGGCTCTGTTTTATGGATCGCCCCAGTCTTAAGTTATTTTTTGCAAATAAATCATATCCATTTAAGGGCTCATCGTGCATTCTTGGTACCTCGAGCTCGATTTATATCAACGCCGGCAGCGAAAATGAACATGACCAAGAACATTGTACTTCGTCGACACAATGATATTGTTAAAAGCACGGAAGATCAACGACAGGCAAGTGCATATTTTGATTGTGGCCGCATTGGAACAATACAATACCATCGAAGACAGCGCTCGCGTTGGATATGAGTTGGGGACGAGTCTCCGTTGATTGGATATCGGCCACGTTAGGGTCTGGCTGGCCACTCAGCGGGCCATCACAGCCCAGTCAGAACGGGGGTGAGGGCATCTAAGCCACGTATACTGCGCGAACTTCGCCTTAATTCGATAGGTGCTTGACGGGGAAGGCCTAGTCAAAGATTCCCTAAACTACTCGCGCTTTTCTCACAGGCACAGCCACCACGGTGAGTTATTGTAGACGTTGTCTGAAGTCTGGGGCAAACCAATAATATCACAAAGCGAAAGCGTGCATAGGGGTCTGGTTCACTAGGACAGAAAGCGACTTTCTCGCGTTTCGCAAAAATTCTTGCTACGAAACGCGAAAAAACTCGATTTCTGTCCTTTTGAACCACACAACATGCATAGTCGGTCATCCGATCGTACGGTCGCACAGCACTGGATGCGTATCGATCGTCAGACTTGCCTGAGTATTCGACGATCGATACGTATCTAACGCTGTGCGACCGTTACGATCGTTACGATCGGACGACCGACTATGCATTCGGCCTTTCGTATTGCATTCATGCAAATCTTCTGAACAAGGGTGTGCGCGGGGCACGATATAAGAAAAGGTGAAATAGTCCCAGGTTTTTGGTCGCGCCTTCCCGGGGGAACCATATCTTAATTCAGGACCTTCTTTTGTTTACAGGTTCACCTCAGAGAAAATCTTGCTGGATTTAGGGGGGGGGGCGCATTCTAGATTCAGTTCCAGTAGGAAGAATACGTTCCTCACATTATGCATGGGAAAGAAAATGGAAACAGAGGGGTCTGAAAAAAAGTTGCTTCGACCGCATGCTTTCGTGGGAAGCATACTTTTGGCCCATCAGTATAATGTCTGCGGTCTATGTCGCTGCGCCAAACTGCATACCGTCTCACCTCGAGAAGGTCTTGAGAAATGATGAAGCTTTGCCGCTTAGTCATTTGTGGTGTTTTAAGTTTCGTGTTTTCAGTATCGAGGACTGGAGCTCACGAATGGGCTTAAGGTGTTGTTAGTATCTGATCCAACAACGGATAAATCCGCCGCAGCTTTGGATGTAAATGCAGGTGAGTGGTTAATATTTCAGGTTTAAGAGGGTCTTAAGCAGTTTTCACTCCCAATATTAACACATTGACAGCGTGACCGAACATGACTCGTTTCTGGTCGCTGGATGCAATCGCGTAGTTGGGCTAAAAACTGAACTTTTTTCACATGTCAGGGTGCTTTAGTGAAAGAGTACGTAAAAGTGCCATAAAAGCTGTTAATCTTTTCAATGAATGCAGCTGCCTCCTGGTTTTGTTGACGTTCCTATTTCTCCGTTTGAATTCATAGCACTTGTGCTATTTAAGAAAGAACTAACACCGCTCGAAGCCTGTCCACTATTTGATAGCTAAATTGGTTCCATAGGTATGGTTCGAAAATGGAATATTCAAGCGACCAAAATTCGCAACGCTATTTCTTGGTTTTGGTAAAAAGCGTTAAGCTATCAAGGCGGGTACACTACTCAAGATCAAGTCAAATCAAAAGCGGTTTACTAAGTTTCAAAAGAGACAGGGAATACGCTCTAACAAGATCAAGTCAAATCAAAAGCGGTTTACTAAGTTTCAAAAGGGACATAGGGAATACGCTCTAACGACGCGCTTCTTTCAAGATCCTAGATGACCATTGATAGCACTGGAGAATGTCGTGCTCTGGAAACCGTTATGAAAAGCAACAGGGTTTACGTGAAGCTTTGATAGTTCGGCTGTATCGCGTGAATCAGGCCCCAGTTATAGTTCAGTTGGACCGGTCATCCGTTCCCTCAAACGAGTGTGAGGTAGATACGTATTTACCATGCGATCGAAACGATCGGATGAGTTAGAAGGTCGGACGATCGATGCATATCTACCACACAATCGGTTGTGGGGTGATAGGTCCATCAAAACCATATCTGCGTTCTCAGCGTTTGCAATTAACACGACAGTCTTACTGAAATAGTGCGAACTTAATTTCCAACCCGGTAATAGCAGTACGAAAGGGGCACGCTGTCGTCAGTGTTCACGTGTGAATAGACAGTTAATTATTTAAATGTTCAGGACATCTAATGGATCCATGGGAGCTGCCTGGCACGGCACACTTCTGTGAGCACATGCTTTTTCTAGGTACCGATAAATATCCATCGGAAAACGAGTATAGTAAGGTTTGTTAGACTTTCACTTTGTAAATCGTTGTTATGCATGTTGATAAGCTTTATCGAAAATAGTGTTGCAGTTCATTTCTGCTCACGCTGGTACTACGAACGCCTACACAGCGGCCGATCACACAAATTATCATTTCGATGTGAAGCCGGACCAGCTAGAGGTTCATTTTTATATAAAACTCGCAGGTTTTTGATTTGTGCCGGAGTCTTTAGGTGATTTCTGATTAAATTAAGGGAGCATTAGATCGCTTTGTGCAGTTCTTCTTAGCTCCACAATTCACAGAAAGTGCCACCGAAAGAGAGGTACGTGGTAGTGATTGAGCTCGGACTTTTCTTTCTCAAAATTTTCGTTAGTTTGCGTGACGATTGCTTAGAATTAAAGTTAGTTTTAAGGTTTGCGCAGTTGATTCGGAACATTCGAATAATTTGAAAAACGATGGGTGGAGGAAACTGCAAGTAGAGCGGTGAGCTTTTAATCATTGGTGGATATAGACGTAATGATGGACATCACGATTTCTTCTTTTCTCTCTCCACCGAAATGGGGAACGTCTTTTTTCTGAAAGTTGAATTTTAACCTTTCATCTCCTTCTTGCCGCACATCTTTGACCCATCCTCTCATTTCCAGCTCTTTTCTGAACTCTTTTTCGATTCTCGTCCATCATTTCTCAACTCTTGGTTTTGCCAGCGATGTTGCAACGTCTTTTGTTTTAGTCCACCAAATTTTTCAAATTTTGATTTTAACTCCCTCTTGGTGAGTGGTATATATAAAGGCTTGAAGTTTATCTTGTTTAGGTTTCTTTCCAAACCGGGCCATGACTATGGAAAGTTCGGCACAGGTAATAAGGTTAGTAATTTTTTACTCTTATGTTTGTTGATGATAAGTTTTATTGTTGACATTGTTTGTTTGTTAATGCCTGTTTGACCCCCCCCCGCTCAGGCGGGCCGAAAGTTTTGATCACAACCCCCAACATTCTTGTGAAAATAAGTTTGATTGTTTCAAAATTCAATATCTTACAGAAAACCTTGATGGATGATGCGCGTAAAAATGGAATTGAGCCAAGGGAGGCGTTGTTAAATTTCCACAAGCAGTGGTATAGCTCTAATATGTAAGTGTTCTCTTCAATTTTTTTTCAAACGTTGACCTTGGTACATATTCCCAAAGTAGCAAGAATAGAGCTGTATAGGGGTGGCTGTTCCTGATAACTCTATTCTCATTGTCGATATTTTCAACTGGAGTTTGAAGGCTCACTAGTGATTTTGGCAACATAAAGTTGCTGATAGTTAGCGTTCTTATACTGTAAAAATTGTTGCAAAAGATTTCTGTGATCACTATACTTATTTTGTTGTTATAGCATGTCGCTGTGCATTGTTGGCTCAGAGTCACTGGATGAAATGGAATCATATCTTGGCACGCTGGGCTTCGATGCTATTGAGAATAAGAAAGTAACACCAAAGCGATGGTTAGAGAGTCCTTATGGAGAGGAGCAGTTAGGTAGACGTATTGAGGTTGGTTTGGTGAAAATTCGTACAAGTTTAAGTATGGGGCTAGGATGCTAAAGAATGCTGTTCCCGTCTTTCCCTATTATATCAGGTTTTTTTGTTGATCTTATGTAACTTTTCACAGGCATCTTATCAAGGCATACCCCTAGTGTTGTCAATATTTACTGCTAAGTGTGAAAACCTTCTAGAATGCCTTGTTGAGGGGCTTTAGTAAAAGTTGATTCGGATGATCTTGAAAGGGTGAAGACTATCGAGTATATTCAGAAGTCTTTGAGTTAAACTTATTGCCAGTTGTGCTTTCAGATTATATCCTTAGATCACTTATGTGTTATATTGGCATGAAGAGTTTCGATTATATGCACAGAGTGATCCAAATTCTTTTTTCATTTCCCTATTTTTCAAATTCAGATTGTACCTATCAAAGACTCGCGTAGTCTAACTATCCGCTTCCCTATACCGGACCTGCAAGAAGAGTACAAATCAAATCCAGCACATTATATCTGTAAGATCTTTCTCCATGATGTTTTTATTGCAAAATGGCACGTGAAGAAGCTGTGGAAGGATCCTACAGTTCAACTATTCGAATAGACTGCTTCATTTGAAATTTTTTTCAGCTCATCTGCTAGGACATGAAGGAAAAGGCTCGCTGTTGTCAGAACTGAAGCGTTTAGGATGGGTTAGCTCACTATCTGCCGGTGAATCAACTCTGGCAAAAGGAATAAGCACGTTCGACATACATGTTGATCTCAGTCTTGGTGGGTCATCAATGTAGTGTTTCATAGTTTTTGTGAGAATTTGTTTCTTCCTCTTCTAGTTAGAAGCTCTAGGGTACTGTCAGCAGTAAGTGCTTATCGTCAAACACTAGCCGATTATTTGTTGCAGATGGCCTTAATCACACAGAAGATATCGTCAGCTTGGTTTTCAACTATATTGGTCTTTTGAAGCGCACCGGTGCCGTCCAGTGGGTTCAGGAAGAGCTGAGTGAACTAGGGGAGCTTAAATTCCGGTTCAAGGTCGGTATATTTGAACTCTTCATGCTAGCTGTAAGCAATGTCTTATTTCTGTCATTAAGGACAAGGAAAACCCGATGAGTTTGGCGACGAAACTTGCCTCTGAACTGAAGCATGTTCCGTTTGAGGATGTTCTTTCATGGCATTATTTGTTGACAGAATTCAATCCTGGTATGTTGACGGGTTAGTGCTTCCTCAGCACTATGATTGAGCCTGGGCTTTATTCATTTTCTTCTTTTTTGGATTAGTTTATGTAGTTTAGATCGAATCATGGAAATCATTGACATGTTAAACCCGAAGAATATGTTTTATATGGTGATAGCGAAAAACTTCAGCGGTCAGGAAGGAAATACTGAAGAGCCAGTCTATGGAACGGAGATGAGGATTAGTGATATCAATGAGGTAGGTGTCGTTTCAATGCTGAAGAATACCGTCATTTTGGACGCAAAAAATCACAACTTAGAATTTTGAAGTCCTAAGTGAATATTTTTTAAGGGCACTATGAATCGATTCCAAGCGGCTATAGAGACAGTGCATCCTGCTCTCCATATGCCAGAGAAAAACGAGTACATCCCAACGAAATTCGATCAAAACCTCGGGAAGCGGTAAAAAGGTACGCAGTTTTTCTTCTTCTTCTACAAAATACTTAACGAAAATTTCTGTACTTTTCACATTTTATCTTTCATTCACAAATTTATTTGAGCAGTAGGATTTTGGTGAACAGCAGTCTTCAGAAGCATCGAAATGATCACTGGTTTTTGCATTTTCTTATTCCTGATAAGAAATAATCTGAATATTAGCTAGAAACGTTTTCTCATTTGATTTTGAGGACTGAAGTCTTGAATGTGCATCATGTCGTTATCGAAGATGAAACATTCAATGAAAAAATAACGTTTGAAAAGCTATTCCTCAACTTTCCGAAACCGCTACTGTAATGCAATGATATTTTACAGTCACATCAATTTAACTACGGTTAATTGCGGATGGAAAGTTGACTGTATATTTTTACTTTTTGAAATGCTGTAGGTAATGCTAAGGTAAGAGCAATGATAGATTCGTTATGGATATTCAGCACAGCCGGCATCACTTCTAGTACATTGCGAGTTGTATTGTGATAGCATAGTACTCTACTTCATGGGCACTGAATTGTAGTGTACACTGAATTTGACCATTCCGCGCCTTTCCTTGGCTGCGCTGGGGGGAGATCCGAGGCCGCCTTTCCTGTACTAGACTAAAAAAACCTACGAAAGATTAGCGCTTCTGGCGCTGGCGGGCTAAAAACGGGATTCTTAGACAACTGGAAACTTCTGCAAACAGCTCTGAATTGCTATTTTCAGTGAGCATCCAAGAGTCATATACGATGATGTGTGGTGTCGTATCTGGTTCAAACAGGATGACGAGTATAAACTTCCGAAAGATGGTGACCAAGGTTCGTTCTTGATTGCCCTTTATAAAGTTGTTGATCAGAAATATTAATATTATTGCGTGTTACAGCTGGCTCTTACCGCGCCAATAATAGCCGCTGATCCAAGATCCACGATGTTGTCGTCGATGTATCTCTGGTGTCTGAATGTGAGTGACTTCACTGTCAGGAGATGATTGATTGTAATTCCTGTTTTACAGGACGCTCTAACTGAGGAGACTTACAACGCTGAACTGGCTGGCCTGAAATGTGAACTTGAGCTAGGAACCTTCGGAACGAATCTAAAAGTGAGGGGTCGTAGAGGGAATGAGGAATCGCTTCTGGTTTTGCTTGTGTGTTTTGTTGTGCTGTGTTTTCCTTTGTTTTCCTAACACTCTGTGTGACGTCTTTTTAACTTTTACGGTGACATGCACAGCCCAAGGTCAATCAAATTAGCGCTATTGGTGTACTGCTCAATCAGCTTAGGCCAAACAAGGGTTAAGAATGCCGTCCATACGATTTTCAAGCCAATTTTTAGTGAGGAGTAGTGTGTTACATGGTTTTTTATATTTCTTGCACATCAGAAGGACGATGCTAGGAGTAACCCTATACACGCAAGTGCAGAGGGGAATCCGGAGTGCCGAACTACGCCAACGATCGAAGATCAGGGACGCTGCCGTTTTCGCCAAGGAATCGAAGATAAGGTGGGCCGGACACGTCATGCGATTTTGCGATGACCGTTGGACCAGAGCGGTTACCGACTGGATCCCTCGGGACGTCAAACGAACACCTGGACGACCGCCGGCCCGATGGTCAGACTTCTTCACGAAAGCTCTGAACGAAAGGAATGATGGACTTCGTGTCCCTCGAGCAAGGAGGATCCACTGGACCACTCTAGCACGCGACAGGGACGAATGGAGACGTTGCTGGCGCCCGCTCGAGCAAATCGACGATCAACGGGACGACAGGTGATACAGGTGATCAGTAAGCTGACTTCTCGACTGTGCAGTTTTTCGAAAGCTCTATATTTCTTCCTTTTTTCTTCGGGAAAACGAGAACATATATTGTCTCAAAAAACAATATGTATAGAAATGGAAGGCTTGGGATGGTCTCATAAAGCAGAAACAACGGTATACCTATACGGATCGGTGCTAAATCCTGTGTCATTCTGACGGACGGAAGCTCCTCCTGCTCACTAATTCCTCGCAAGAAAAAAAATTTCCAGGAAGCCATGGCACTAATGTAAGTGCAAGGGGTGGGTCGAACCACCTCCCTTCCCTTGCCTTTTTCACTCACTATCCTTAGGTTACTTGAGTACGTGATTGTATGGGTACTGCATGACTCATGCACGATTTTGGATCACCAATCAAGTCCATACATTTTCCAGTTCTTCTTAGCACTTACTTTACGAATTTTTGGGAAAGTTGATCCGGCGTTGTATACGCTTCCTGAGCGGAGGTGAGTGCATGGCACGTACTCTAGGAATATTTCGTGTTGATTACCCGTTTATTAATCTTTCCCCAAGGGTGCTTGTTATTGTGTGTTACGTTATCACTTACGCAATGAAGTGCACTCTGGTTGTTGGCGAGGGCGTTATACACAGTTTTTCGGCGGCCTGACGTGATGCACTATTCTAGAAACTTGTCGCCTTAGTCCGCATCTGGTCCGTTGAGTGGCAGCCTATTTTTTTTCTAGTTCTGACTGGTACTATATCATTCTTCATTAACTTTGCTTTTTTTCGTATGTTTTCTCTAACTGTTGATCTTTTTTCTTTCTAACCTTTATTAATTTTCTTAAGTACGAGCAGCAATAGTCTGCAGATTGTTTGAAACTTGATTTTAAGGTGACAGGATATGATGAGAAGCAGCCGTTATTTGTTGAACATCTAGTCAAGCGCATGACTGATTTCAAACCAGGTTGGTGGGAAATTCATTCTTAGGCTATGACATGGTGTTTTCGTTGCTGTCGTTTTTCTAATCTGCTTTGGGATTGTGCTTTTTTTTTCACGTAAAGAACTTGGTGTTAGTCATTTTTCACGAACATTGATTTGGTTTTTGCTTTTGTTAGTCGTGTTTTGGGTTTTTGATATCTGCCGAAAATTGGAAGCCTGGTGTCAGAGTACGCAATCCGCGATTCGCGCGTATCACATCACAGAAACCATAGGTCCCCGACCAATACTGCGAGGTGCTTTCCACTAGCGATTCGCGCGATTCGTGGAATGACACCAGCCTACGATTAGTATAGTTGTTTTGGAGGCTATGATGTGAAAACTTTGATCAGAAAGACGCATATCAAGAATTATGCTATCTCCTGTTGATCTAGCGATCCTGAGCCTCTTTAAATTTTCTTCACCTCAATATTTGAGTAGCCGTACCCGATCCTTAATCTCGTACAAATGTCATCAAGTATAAATCGAAAAAATGGGTCTTTATGTGAGATCATTTGGCGACTGATTGTATTGTTGAAAATCCTCTATTTAGATCCACTCCGTTTCGAAGTGTTGTTCGATGCTATCAAACGAGCTTTGGAAAATTTTGCTCATTCTCAACCGTACACTTTGTCACAACATTACGTCCAATTACTGCTCAGTGATAAGTTTTGGAGTAAGGAGCAACTGCTTGCCGTTTGTAAAGGTAAGAGTAGTTTTTCACCTACATTCATGATCTCGTTTTCCTACTGTCTCCACCCTCCTTACCTTTGTTGACGTCTGAAATTGACGAATTGATTTTCGGTAATCATTCCTTTCGGTGAGTGCTATTTAAAATCCATTCAGAGTCATAGAAACGTGAATGGGCGTTTCGTCTGCTTTATTTGTCTCTCAATCGTAGAGGCTAGTAGCCAGTCATTCGTTTTCGCTGAACTCTCGATGTTGTTGAGTGCTGTCAAGTCATTCGTTTCTCTGTCTAGTTCGGGAGCTAACTCCTTCTGCTACTTGTGTCTAGAATCCTGTATCTTCCGGCCTAGATACCGTAGCGGAAACAGTGAGAAGTGTTCGTTCTCTTGAGCGTGAGTGAAGCCTCAGGATCCAGTCTACAAGAAATGACGTTATGATGTCCGGCTGCAGACCAGACCAACCTTCCATGACTCCTGCAGACGAGAACTTCCATACGTTCTGCAGTCGAAATCAACCAGTATTAGCTCTGTATACTCGATATTCGAGACGTTTGCCGAACATCCTTCTCCCATACTTTCTTATTTCGAGGGCAACTGTCGTGATGGCTGAGAGACGGAGACGAGTTGGATACATCTTAGGTGGGGCTGCGGTTGCGGTTACAGGTTGCGAGATAGGTGCAAGTATCGTGCAGCAATTCTTCCAACAGCAGCGTAGTCCCGGAGGTTTTCTACAGTGTGGATACCTTGACGTGACGTTTGGTAGCGAGTGATCACTGATCAGGTTGTTGTCCAGATTTGGCGGAAAATTTTTATGATCTTCGGCAATTACTCTGCTGGTTCGAGTGATGATTTCTAACGACTAGATGAAATGCGGATTTCAGAACGGCGAATATGAATTGAAAGAACAGCATATCCATCACTTCAGATGGTATGTAGGCAGGTGGACAGCTTATGTGTCTGTGATTTGAAAAGCTCCGAAATGGTTTTAAAATTTGTTCACCGTTCTGTTTCTTGATTTTCGCACGCTTTTGCGCCATGCCATCCATCACTTAATTTTTGAGGCTTTCAGCTGTCCAAGATTGTCCCGTGATGGAAATTGCACCCATTACCGCTTTCATTTTTATAGACATGAATGTGCACGAAGTGGAAGCTTTCGGAAAGGAAATGTTACGGGCTTTCCATGTTGAGCTGTTTGTTCATGGTAATGCAACCGAACAGGTGAAATTTTGCGAAACTCAGCGTAAACTTTTTTTGAAGATTCGTTTGGGCAGGCTCTTTTTTGAAGAACGAAGAAGGATTTGCATCGCTTTGTTGACTTTTAATGGGTTTAATATGATCAAACTTTGAATAATAATTTTTAGGAGGCATTGACACTTGGACATGCAGTGACGAAGACATTACGCGAGTCGTCGAAAAGTCGTCCTTTATTCAGAAATGAATATACGCCAATGAGAGAACATGCTTTAGAGAACGGTAAGATTACGGTTCCATTGAGTCACCGTTGAGACGTTGTTGAGGAAGGGTGTGGGTCAGGAGGTCTCGATTGCGTCGCACATTGAAAATATGGTTATGTTTCGCGGCAAAGTGATGGATCACTTTTGCTTGTGGTGAAAGCGCCGTGCGTTTTATAAGCGTTCCTTTTTGAGCTGTGTTATTGCGCTGATTGTGTCAGGAAAAGAGATCTGCGCTCTCATATATTGCTGGAAGAAAAATATTCAAATGTTGGAGGGTTAGCTATGAAAGAGATAAATTACACCATGGTCTGAAGCCTTGATTTGATCCCAAATTATTTATACTTACATGGGTCTTCTTGTTCTTTTTCGGTGCTGAATTGGGTTAGCGTTTCATCTTAGCGGGTGAGTGAGACAGAACTTTTCGCTCATTCTCAAACTCTCAGACTTTGGAGTCTTTTCAGCTGTTTCAGTTTGATCTAAAGTGTTATTAATTGTTCTAATTTTTTTTTCAATGGTTTGTGTTCTAGGAGACGCATACGTGTATCGACACTTCCAGAACACTCATGAGGTGTCGTGCGTTGAAGTATTATTCCAAGCAGGAGTTCAGGTAAACATTTTGCTCTTTTTTATGCTAATGCTTATTTTATGTCTATTCCGTTGGATTATCCCATTTCGTGATTGGCCCTATTGGGATTTTACTTCAGGCTACACGAGAAAATGCCCTAGTTGAGTTGTTGGTGCAGCTTCTACGTGAACCAGCCTTCAATCAGCTGAGGACTGTTGAACAATTAGGTGAGTCCTGCTTGACTTCTCTGTCTGTGCTTGTTCCTTCTTTGGGCAATAGGGCTATTGTAATCAATGTGGCAGTCATGCAACGCACTGGCTTTACTGTTTAGTGTGTTGTTTGTTGGTGCCAGATTAGTAATACTAAGCACTGGGTAGGTTTCAGACCTTGTGAATTCAGTGGCCAATCGCGCGACGTGTTCTTCGCAAGCGATTCCGTCGGTGTCTCCAGGAAGCCGGTATTCGTATAGGCTTCTTAAGACACAGGGCATTGAATACTATCTGACTTTTTTTTAAGGGGGGGGGGTGCTAACCGGCCTCCTTGCAACAGCAAACACTGATTGGCTCCACAGAGGCATTCTCTGACTTCTTTGGGACGTAGAACGCTAAGAATCGCTCGAATCGCCAGCGAATCGTGCGATTCGCTAGCTAACGGTCGCGATGTTTCAGGAAGTGAAGGCAAAAGTGTTAACTAGGTCTGGAATAGGGAAGCGCAGGCCTGACTCAGTGTCATCGTGCACTTCAACGTTTGTCGTCTCGTTCTCTGTGGCTGGTGTTCATTATACAACAGAAAGTATGGAGAGTGTGTCATAAGAGCGTCATATTTGAAGAGCAATAGGAGAGGGGTTCTCGTGGAAATGTGAACTTTCTGCTGATACCGTGTGATATTGTCTCGCATAGCGGCTAAGATGTTTTGGTAGCACGTGATATTTTCTGAAAACTCATAGCGACTTTATTCAGCTTCTTGAGTTAAGGATACGTCGTTTGGACTGGATCGCGGCTAAACGCCGGCACTCTCGGGTTGCAGTTTATTGTGCAAGGTCCGAAAAGTCCAGATCATGTGTTAGATCGGATAGAGGCGTTCCTCGACAAGATTCGTGTAAGTTTGTCTCAGATTCAACTTAACAACTGTTATATATTGCATTGCATGCATGTGACTGATTTTCCATGCTATTATTTTAGTTTCTCCCCATTAATTTTATTGCAGGAGGATATTGTGGTTATGCCGCAAGACGAGTTTGAAAAGCAAAAAACGGGTCTCATCACACGACTACTCGAGAAGCCGAAAACCTTGGGAGCGCGGTCAAGACGTTTTTGGAACGAAATTGACTGCAGGCAGTACGATTTTGATAGGAGTATGTTTCACTTTCCTGTTCGTGTTCTGCTATTTGATTCGAAGATTAATTAGTTATTCTCATAATTATTTTGGCAGCTTTAAAATTGGTCTCCTGGGGTTGCGTATGTCGTACCTTTTGTAAGCAGCATTATCTTTACATAATTTTGAAAATATTGCCGAAAAAACAAGTCGACCAATCATTTCAAAGCAGCACTTCACGAAGACCTTGTGTACAGTAGATTCTGAAAGATTGTCTTTACAGATAACTCCGAAGTGGAAGTACTGAATACGGTCACTAAGGAGGACCTCCTGTCTTATTTCGATCGCAAGTTCAGCAAAAATGCGCCAGAACGACGGAAGGTAATTGTTATCATCACAAACTCCATGAGCTACACTTTTTGCAAGTGCTGCTTCATCATTTTTCTTGTTTACTGTCTGTCTCTCTGTCTTTCTGGCCGGGGAGACGGTCAATTCAATCGTCGGCTAATGAGGTCACGACGCATCGTCGCGCGCGGCAGTTGGAGCGGCGATTTCTGTGTGGACCTTTTCTTAACCATCCATGTCCATAAGTTGGCTAGGTGACTGATAAGATCCAGAGTGCTGGACATCAGTAAGCCAGCAAGCGTCACTTAAGATCTCCGCAGTGATTTAAGCCTCACAGTACAAAGGTTGTACCATGTAAAGGTTGTCCTTTTGAATTTAATTTGACTTCTTTATTAATCAGCTGCCTGAATTTCTATCAGAGAGTGATAATCTGGTTCAATCGAAAGAATATCACGTTCCAAGACACAGAGGAACGGTGAGGAAGGCTCTAACATAAGCATGATAGGATAAGTTTGTAATAATGGCAAGGGAAAAGAAACTGCATTTCAAGGGGTTAGGTGATTCCTATTCCATGTTTCATGACTGGAAACTTCATCTAATCTTACATTCCCCAATGTTTGGATGCTGAGTTCTTTGCAAATTCGCCGCGATATCGCTGGCTGCGGCGGCTGGCGCGGCGACCTAGCCACTGCCACGATTGAATCGTCACGCACCCGTCTGGCTTTGTCTCAATGTAGAATTTGCAGGGAGCCGACTTTATTATTTAGACAGTATTCTTTTTTAAGCTATTGATTCTAGGTTGCTGTATTTGTGCACGGTAAGGACGATCAAAGGGACGGAATTGTGGAGAAGACTAGAGCGAAGAGGGAAGTTGCAGGCAAGGACAAACTGGTGAGTGGTGTATCTAGTGATTATTATTATCTCGTAATTACTAGTGGAGTTCAGCATGTGATCTATTTTTATTTTAATGTGGCTCTAGGAGTAACATGCATGATTTTAGGAAGAAATTGAATGTATGGAGCAGTTCCGACAGTCATTATCGCTTTACGGTCGCCCACGACCGAAGATTGAATCTGCCGCCGATTGGCGCTGAGCCGCTGTCGTCTTTGGCAGCTGGAGATGCGAAGTCCAAATACTGATGAGTTAGAGCTTATCACGAATGATTGTTGAGTTCCAATCATTTAATTAATTAATTGTTATTGCTTCCTGTCAGGATCACTTGTTGCTATTAAGCACTAGAGGATTTTGTTATTATTAGGATGTCTGAATTTTTGAGATGTCACGGTGTTGAGATTAGCTGCACGATCAAAGGCCTTTTAGTCAGGCTCGATGTGTGTTTAGATTTGTTGAGTTACGTGTTAAACAGTAAGCCTTTGTAGGCTGTGAAAATACAATGTGTGGACTTTAAGCTAAGTCATTATTATCGCGGAATCTTTTCCAAGTTGTTTTTTCTCCACCTTCTGTAATCTACCTGGATATAAATGTTAATTATGTGGGTAACACAAGTTTTCATTTGTAGAAAATAAATGCTCTTCAAATATCGAATGAAGGATTGCTTCGGAAGATCTTTTTGGCCTGTGTAGTGCTTTTGCAAGCACCTGTCCAGGTACATTTGTTGTACCACAGTTTTTCGCAATCACGAAGGCAATTATTTCTGGAGGACATCTGTAGGTTTGACCATCAAGTTAGTCATACTGGGTACCTCTCCTTCCCTTAACCCATTCGCGACCGCGCAGGATTGCGCAATAGCAGCAGCGTCAGGAGATTTTTCTTCAATAAAATTCCGAGTGAGGGAGATTTCCTCTGCCCAGGGCTGGCGTAGATGAGCGAGGGTATGAAGATTCTTTTCCATGGAAGAAAACTTTCCAAATTCCATTTCAAGCCCTGCAGCCACAGTAATACCATTGTCCCGAGTGAGAGCTTTGTCAGCCACCGGTGGCTGACATTGTCACGAATGGGTTAACAAACGATTGAAGGCTGGTTGGTTGAAGGAGTAGGGGTGGGGGTGTGCTATTGGGCTGCTTGTCTTCACTCTAGAGTTTGTTGAATCACCACCCTAGGCGCCTTGAACAACGTTCGGGCAGGTGGGGCCACCGTGCATGGCATTGTGCGCGTCCTTAGATGTTAGAAATGAGCAATCTGAGCCAGGAGGGGAAGGTGGCTGACAGCTCAGGGTGAGGGGTCTTAGCCAAGGCCTTGACATGCAGTGAGAGCTTCAATGTGCACTTCCATCATCTCGCTGAGCTGGACGAAAACGGCTGTTGCACCCCTCCCCTCCCAACTACGTTAATGCGCTCGGCGTGTAGATACGAAGAACATAAAGTACCTTTTCGATTCTCGCAGCGCGAAATTCTGCTTCGGGAACTCCAAGCCAGCCTTGATCAGGGGTGAGCCGGGGTTCCTGTAGCGAGAAAAGCTTCGCGCTGCGAGAAGCAAAAATCGCTTCCTGTCCGAGCGAACTACACATCCATGCGTAGCTCCGGTCATTTATACTCGCATTGAACTTGTCCTTATTGATAAAAAAAATCGTTCTCAGAAAAATAGAATTGCTGGAAGTGTTCAACACTCGTTCGGCAAACATAACGGCTTCTGCAAATAAGTTGTCAACACTGCTGTACATATTTTGAGTGGTAATCTTTATAAATTTTCGTGCACCTCGTTTTGTGAAAATAAAATGTCATGAAAATTTGAGGAAGTAGCGGATAGTTTGTCTTCATTTCTTCTAGCCGTGCTGTCAGAAAATGATTGGCACACTTTGTCTTCCGATTTTCCGATCGTTAGTTCCGCGATGATAGCCAATCTTCATTTGCGATAGGATGAACAAAATCATTCGGCTCCAAGCCTGAAAATTCATTAGAGACTGAGTGGAGTCGAATCATTGAAAGTTTTTTATTTGTAAAAATGAGTCCCTTTCACACTGGCCACGTGTCTGCTACCCTACCGATCGCACCTCGTGAGAAGCTGACTTGAATTCTTTTGAGCTCAAACTTGCTGACGAGTAACATTGGGTCTACGTTTTTGACCATGCACGATGTGTGTGGCGACAAAAGTGATCTTGTGCAGTCCCCTGGTGATCCTTCTTGATAAAAATCAGAACTTCATTGTCCAATTGCGGGACCGCCGCGACTATTCGATGCCGATCCTTTAGCTAATCAATGTCGATTATGATGGACCTCTTACTTTTTCCCCCAACTCTGTCAAGTGAAATAAGTTTTTTTTCTCGAATTTGTCATATTTTGATGTTTATGTCCGTTTCGCTTTCGTTTCGTTTCATTTTTCTTATCTGCCGAGCAGGGTCAATCAAATTCGGCCCACACGCATCTTCCCCATTGGCTAAGCGCAAAGGAATCCCGTGATTAAAGACCCTGTCCGATGTTTTTTTTTTAAGCTTTTTCTTCCATTATGGGTCAACTTCTCACGCACAACTCCATCATAGGGGGTTTTTGCCCGCGAATTCGTTCTTGGATTGTTGCTTTAAGAAGTGCCGCCTTTTAGTGATAGATATGATGTGCGAATTCCAACCTTGTGCTCGCAGTGGCGCATTAAAGCGGAAAAAATCCGGACCTTATGTCACACTCTGAAAGATGTCTCAGTATTACTCAATTTGATGCATGTATAATTTTTCTCAACGGTCAGGTGATTGGTTCTGCTAGTATCGCCATTCTTACGCAGTCGCGATGAACCTATTTAGAGGACCAGGCATGTCGCTTACTGCTTGCTCGAAATAAAACAAGCATCAAGTGCCCACAGCTTGGCCATATGCTAGTGCATCTGTTTACATTGTTACTTCTTTGGAAGCGTTGTGGGGTTCTCAAAAGGGCAAACCTTGATTGAGATTTTCTTGAGAGGGGATCGAGCTTACCTTGGTGGGAGGGGGTTTTAGATGGGGACGGCGACAGTGTAAAAGGGAAAAAATGCCGTTGCCTGTTAATGCCTTTAGAGGTGCGTCTATACTTATGATACGCGCTGCATCTAGTATCAAGAATTTGCTAGAAGAATAAGATCGTCTTCCTGGACAACTGAGAAGATTCAGAGGTGTTTTCTGATAGGGAATCACTTTTTCGCTGTGGAAGTCAGTCTCACTAGGGGTCTCTGTCACGATCAATTTGATCGAGTACGATCCTCTGTTCTAGATAACATCTCTACCATGGCGAAACCATGACACAAAGTGAAGCGTAAAGGGCTGAAATAACGATTCAGAAATAATATCGATTCAAAAGCCCACCTCTTTTTCGACTTCTCTTCGGAAAGTCACCGGCCGATTTCGCTCGAAGCAGTCAGTGAATATATCCCAGTACATTGATTGAAATCCTCGTGCTTTCAAGGCAACGTGCTGGTAACCAAGAGTCTGAAAAGCAATTGAGATGGTTCATTGAAACATTGGAAGTAAAAATAGAAACACAGCGAGCAAGCACGACTCGTTATGACCTCAGAGGGTAGGTGATATAAAAAATGACGACGCGCTTACCACTTAGAATGGTTCCCATAGTCCGAAATGGAACCGTGCAATGCCCAGTTTTTGCGATTATCAGATCTCTCTCTTCCAACTTGTCCGCTAGTGTATCAAACCATGGTGAATGTAGTCGGGTTTCTCCGACATGAGGGGTTGTGCCTACCCTGGCGATAGAGAGAGAATCGTAGAAGGGATAGAAGGAGAAGAAATAGGATAAAGGATAGGATAAAGCATTTGCCGTTGATCAATCCCTTTTTGGGATGCGGCACGCATTCTACTTCCATTTGTACATTCGTAGTGGCGTTTGAATGCGATGTGGCCTATACAATGACTTGCGGGGGCCAGCCGATGTTCAAGTCAGTGTTTTTATCCTCCCAGACAAGTCTGGTACCAATTAACCGACCCCGGAGGGATGGAAGGCTTGGTTGGCCCGGGCGACTCACGACCAGGGTCAACCCTATCGTTGTTACTTT